ACATTCAATTCATGTCAAGGAAGAGCCAGTGATTGCAGAGGATGAAGACTGCCCAATATCCTTAGTGACAACAGCTAATCACAGTCCAGAGTTAGAAGATGACAGAGAAATTGAAGAAGAGCCTTTATCTGAAGATCTGGAATGAGAACTGACTTGTGAAACCTCAGCATGAAGGGACATATAACTGACCTTCATAACCACTCCACAACCATGAATATTTGACAAATTTTTACTGTGACTATTTATTAAGCATGGATAAAGGAGACAGCCCTAAAGGAACCTAGTAAGCCAGCCCTTTAGGATTCAGTACCAACAGGCAAATTGCTTGTGTTCTTTTCTTTCTGTCTCTCTTGCTCCCTCTTTTTTAGAAAAAAAAGACAAAAACTGATTTTCTTTTAAAAAAAAACTGTTCTTTTTATAATGGCTTTGCCCATTTAAAAAAGTGGCTCTTTAGGTTTGTGAAATGACTGAATATGAGGATACATGTCCTGTAGAAAGCAAACACGCCTCATATACTGCCAAAAATAGTGTTAGTTTCATTAATGTGAATTTTCCAGCATTCAGTAGTTGTAATGTTAGAAACAATTGCTGGTCAAGTTCAACTTGTTGCTATTGTTTTTAATTTGCACAGGAGTAGTATCAGAAATTAGTGTCACTGCTTGTATCTAGCTGAATTTTAAACAACAGAACATTAGTTTTTTATGTTGGTGCCACCAACTGTAAATGACATGTTAGTAATTACAAAACACAGTAATTAGACTGTTGCAACCATCTAAAACCTTAGACTTCCAGTCTGTGCTGTTAGTGTTAAGATGTAAAGTGCAATCCTAAACTAACATTATCTGTGCAAGCACCATAGAAACATTTGCATATCTGCATAGATCTTACAACTGTACTCTTTACCTCCTTGTGATAAAGCTTTGTCTACCTGCAAACACAGTCAAAGGCTACAGCTGCAAACCAAAGCCAACTCTAACCATGGCCAAGAGCTCAAGGACAGAAGCAGCCACATGCTTTGGTCAGCCTTCTGTAACTTCAATTAGTATAAAGGAACATTTTCCATGAACTACCTGCTGTTTTCTGATGACCTCTGGGATATTTTTGTTTAGCCCTAAACAAAGAATTAAACACGACAAAGAAGAAACACAAAGAAAAACCACAACTAAAAAGTTAATTCAGTCACAGAGTAATCTTCTGAGACCGAAAGTCCAACTAAATGCAATGAAGATTTGCTTTCATTAAAGACAGAGGTGAGGACAAAATCTGCAGTGGAAGTTATGATATGCTAGAAAGCAACAAATATGGATCACTGACCAAAATGATCATGTACTTGATGCAAATGCAGATTGCATATTGTTATATATATAGTACACTGTGTTTTTGTTTTCTCCAATTCAGTTGCTTATTTTCAGTGGTGAATACATGTTGTTAGAAGATGTCTTGTATGGTCTGAATCTTTGTTGTGTACTATTTTTTATAGTCTTAAGTTATAATGAAAAAACAAAAAGTAGGAACCAAACATAAAAGGTCTAGTAAAGCCAAAAATTAATTTCATATTGATTTTAAAGTGATCTAGCTGAGTTTTTACACTGAAAGCAAAGATTATAGCAATTGTAGTCCATGGTATTTATTTTCAATCAAACCAAAGTTACATATAATTCTGCCTCTGCTTATACGGGATATTAACAATAACAATACACTCCCTTTTAAAGACTTGCACAGGTCAAATTGTTGGAATGCTGATTTCCTTGACAACTCCAAACTCCAAAACTATGACAATGCGTAATAGTGTATTTGAAAATAGCATAGTCAGATGTTTGCTTAAAACCTAGAAACTTTACATGTTGCTTTTCATGTGCTGTGCCAAGTCTTGATAATACTTTTTCCCCCAACCAAGGGACCTCATAACCTGATTATGGTTATTGCTTTACAAACAGTTTTGACAGAAGGTGGCTGCTAGAGCTTAACATATGTGCCAGTTCCATGTGATGGAGCTGGTTCTTGCAAACTAAGCTCATCATTTATTCTTTGCTGAAGTCAGCAAATAGAGTTAGAGAGATATCCAGTCATCTATCACACCAAATAAAAGAACATAATGGCTTTCAAAAGGGTTTTCCCACTTACCCAAAAGGCTTTCTGAAAGCTTCTACCTCTGCAAAAAAAAAAAAAAAAAAAAAAGAAAAAAAGAAAAAAAGGAAAAAAAAGAAAAAATTAGAACAATTATGGCAGATTGCATGAAACGTGAAAACGTCACAGTAACTGCTACTTTTCATTATGTTTGTCTTTGGGTCATGATCAACAAACGGGAAGTTTACCATATACTATCAAAAGAATGATTGGTATTGTGAATGATGATTTTCAGTCATCTAGGATCCTGTCAGGATTATCTGAAGGGAAAATTGGTCTTTCAGGTGCATGTTCTAAAGGCTTTGATGGATTGAAAGTAACTGTGAGAGCTGTACCATCAGGAGAGTGGCCTAAGACTACAATGCTAAAGTATGCATACCTCAGTTACAAAACTTTTAAAAGGAAGTCTCAGCCACAGAATGCATATACCTGTAGAGTTTTGCATGGGTTTTATATGAATACAATTAAAAAAATAGCTGCTTGCACATTATACCAGAAAAACCTCCAAAACTGCAATTGCTTTGAAAATAGATTTTAGGTTTTTTGGAGTTTTCTGAAATGCTTGGTCTGTATTTTGATAATTGTGCATATTATGTAAAAATGTTGGTGGACCCATAAATGACCTGACTTTTCTAAGAAAAATGTTGCTTTAATGCATTTCATGAATTTTTACTTATATCATTGCCTGCTAGTAATAGCAAATCTGCTTTTCTGCATCTGCTTTGCGTAGCTATTGTAAGGCTTTGAACTAATGTATGTATTTATTGCTTGAACTTCTGTGCATACCCTATAAAGCATAATGTCTGACAGTTTAAATGGCTCATGTATTCTTGCTTCTATCAACCTGACTATGGGGACTATGATCTTTTGTATACAAGAAATTTTAACTGTAGCACAAACATCTGTTTATGTATTGGTGGAATATACCTGTTTTATTTATCTTTTTTGAGGTAAACTAATTTTTGATACTTTTCATTACTGTGTACTATGTTCATACTTTGAATTCTCTGGCATTAGAAGTCATGGTTGAGGATTGTAACAGCTGTTATTTGTTCTGTATTCATGGCTTTCACTGCTGAATAAAATAAAGGACCAAACATAGGATTTGAAAGAAAACTGTCTACCTCTAACACCAGGGAGTTATCATATTTTATTTTACATAGATGTAGTCAACAAAGACACAATTGCTTAAACCTAGTGGCTTAATGCTTATATACTATGTGGTTGGATTCATGGCAGAGTTGTATTGTTTGAAAATCAATTAAAATTTCATGAGAATGTTACAAGTATTTGGTAGAATTACCACTAACTAAGTTTTCTTTAGGTTAACTTAGATATGGGGAAAATGTCATCAGCATTCTGAGTCTACAGCTGCTTAACTTCATAAGAGTACATTTCTTTGTGAGTAAGGAATTGAAGAATAGTCAGCTAGGAATAAAGCTACAGAAACACATCTAAAATAAACCATCCTGAACTTTAACATCCCTGGATAGATTCAGTAACAAAATTCATTGGGTTATTTTGTAGTTTTAAAATTAAATATTCACATTTTAAAGAACTGATGAGACTTCATCCTATGCATGCCAATATTAACACACATTTGGACAACAGCTTTATGAATGTCATAAAGTTATTGAAAAGAATGTGGCTTGCCCTTGTAATTCCACAAGTTCAGGTTGCAATGAAAGGTTTTTTGGGTTTTTTTTGTTGTTTGTTTATTTGTCCATGAACACTTGGTATATCTTACCTAACAAAAAGAAGGATGTACATTTTCCTAAGAATTAATGTATGAACAGTGTGTCACTGCTATCAAATGTAAAAATGTATATGAAACCATTTCATTCACCGGACTACATTTCTGGAGTATAAATAAAAAGTCTAATTCTTTTTGACCCATTTATAACACCTAGGATTTTATTTTTTAGAGAGACCCTTTTTCCCTGCCAGAGTCAAGTCATAAATTTGTGTATACATGTTACACAAATTGTTTAAAATCATTTTCTTAGGAACCAGAGATTCACAAACCAAACTATACACAAAATAAGTTAATAAAGGTAGGAGCTTCTTGTCAAATTCATTCTATTAAAAACTACTTTCAGGTTCAAAATTGACATGCTCACATAATTATCTCATGTTTTCATGCTTTTATTCTAATAGAATTTAACATTGTAAATTCTGAACATTAAAAAAAGTGGTGGTGGGAGGAAACATAATTACACTATTTAACTTTATGCTTTTCCTTTATTTTTTTTTCTATTGCCTCCAAATATCATTCACGGCCATGGCATTCTCTTTTGGTTTAAGAGAATGTACAGAGGTAGGTAACTAGCTTTCTAAGGGAATATTCCTTTGCTTGTAGTAACCAGTCCCAGACCTTTATTAGTGTCCAAAACAGGCAAGATAGGCCATCTGCAGAAGGAAAGTTTGCCTTTTTCTTTACCTTCAGTATACATTCTAAATGTGTCATAATTGGAAGTAAAAAGAAAATGAATATGTTGAGTATATTTTTATTTTATGCATATTTTAATGTTTTCTGTCTTCCTAGTGAGAGATTACCTTGACTAAAAAGCCTCTACGGGATAATAAATTGTTTTGAAAGAAATATGAGCATAAAATTAATTTTATTGAACCTGAGAATTCATTTTTCATTATCAATCAGTTGAAATCAAATGAATACCAACTTGCCCCCATCCAATGTACTTATTTTGTTAACTTATTAAAGGCTACATAACAAGATGTGAATCCAATCCTCTCATACTCTATGCTTTCATATAAGGAAAATAAGAGATTAAAACTAACAATGCAAGAAAAACTGATTTGGCAAATGTAGTTTAAAAGTACTGTGTTGCCCAGATAGATTATGCTAGGTCAATGGAGGATTCAGCTGCTTTGTAAAAAGCTGGTTAATAAATTATTTTTAATTTTTAAAAATTAAAACCAAGATGACAACTTAAAACCTAACTAACTAGAATAAAAATACAGCAAATCACATTGTAACCATTTCTCTAGACAGAAGTA